CCGCGCCTCGTGGGCTCGTCCGGTGCCAGGTGCGCGCCCTGCACGGACAGGGGGAGGGGGGGGTTAGGGGCATGGTGCAGACGGCGCAATGGCGTGGGGTTGAGGAAGAAGGGCGGTGGCAGTCTGTGGTTGTGCGTGTGGGTGGAGCGGAGGAGACAAGAGGGAAGCGGCACTCATGAGGGGCGGCGGCACTCACGAGCCAGATGAGCATGTGGGCACTCACGAGCCAGATGATCATGTGGGCACTCACGAGCCAGATGAGCATGTGGGCACTCACGAGCCAGATGAGCATGTGGGCACTCACGAGCCAGATGAGCATGTGGGCACTCACGAGCCAGATGAGCATGTGGGCACTCACGAGCCAGATGAGCATGTGGGCACTCACGAGCCAGATGAGCATGTGGGCACTCACGAGCCAGATGAGCATGTGGGCACTCACGAGCCAGATGAGCATGTGGGCACTCACGAGCCAGATGAGCATGTGGGCACTCACGAGCCAGATGAGCATGTGGGCACTCACGAGCCAGATGAGCATGTGGGCACTCACGAGCCAGATGAGCATGTGGGCACTCACGAGCCAGATGAGCATGTGGGCACTCACGAGCCAGATGAGCATGTGGGCACTCACGAGCCAGATGAGCATGTGGGCACTCACGAGCCAGATGAGCATGTGGGCACTCACGAGCCAGATGAGCATGTGGGCACTCACGAGCCAGATGAGCATGTGGGCACTCACGAGCCAGATGAGCATGTGGGCACTCACGAGCCAGATGAGCATGTGGGCACTCACGAGCCAGATGAGCATGTGGGCACTCACGAGCCAGATGAGCATGTGGGCACTCACGAGCCAGATGAGCATGTGGGCACTCACGAGCCAGATGAGCATGTGGGCACTCACGAGCCAGATGAGCATGTGGGCACTCACGAGCCAGATGAGCATGTGGGCACTCACGAGCCAGATGAGCATGTGGGCACTCACGAGCCAGATGAGCATGTGGGCACTCACGAGCCAGATGAGCATGTGGGCACTCACGAGCCAGATGAGCATGTGGGCACTCACGAGCCAGATGAGCATGTGGGCACTCACGAGCCAGATGAGCATGTGGGCACTCACGAGCCAGATGAGCATGTGGGCACTCACGAGCCAGATGAGCATGTGGGCACTCACGAGCCAGATGAGCATGTGGGCACTCACGAGCCAGATGAGCATGTGGGCACTCACGAGCCAGATGAGCATGTGGGCACTCACGAGCCAGATGAGCATGTGGGCACTCACGAGCCAGATGAGCATGTGGGCACTCACGAGCCAGATGAGCATGTGGGCACTCACGAGCCAGATGAGCATGTGGGCACTCACGAGCCAGATGAGCATGTGGGCACTCACGAGCCAGATGAGCATGTGGGCACTCACGAGCCAGATGAGCATGTGGGCACTCACGAGCCAGATGAGCATGTGGGCACTCACGAGCCAGATGAGCATGTGGGCACTCACGAGCCAGATGAGCATGTGGGCACTCACGAGCCAGATGAGCATGTGGGCACTCACGAGCCAGATGAGCATGTGGGCACTCACGAGCCAGATGAGCATGTGGGCACTCACGAGCCAGATGAGCATGTGGGCACTCACGAGCCAGATGAGCATGTGGGTGCCGTGGTCCAGCACGAGGGCGGCATGTGACGTGAGCGCCAGGTCAGAGGGCGGCACTTGAACGAACTGGGTGGCGTGGCCGGCACGGAACATGAGCAGCGACGGCACCACCATGCGCAGCGCCGCCTCCCCCCCCGCGCGCAGCAGCAGCGCACGCAGTGCCTGGCGCTCCCACTCGCTTGCCACGTGGCACCCCAACACTGGGCTGCGCCTCACCTCGTATAGTGCCTCCGCTACCCTGCAGTGGGGGGGTTGGGGTGGAGACGTGGGGAGGAGAGATGTGCAACAGAAGGCCAAGGCAGGTGGGGCTCAAGCAATGAAACACCCTCCCACTGCATCCTCGCTTCTCCCCCTTACCTCCCCACTTGCCCTCTGAACCCGCGACAATCACACACCGTCCCGCCCCTCACCTGCCCCTAGCCACTCCACCCCGTGAACTGACCGGGGCAGCTGGTGGGGGAACTGCAGCAGCGAGCGGTTGTGCTGCGCCACGCCGCCCAGCTTGAGCGCGAGGTCGCGCGCACGGGCGTCCACCCACGCGCGCATCTCCCCCGCCTCGCGTGCTGTGGGCGCCGCCAGCACGGTGCGCTTGGCGATGAGCAGCGCTGCCGTGGGCTCGTGCACCGATGAGAGGTACGCCGGTAGCGATGGCGCCACTGGTACACGCACCGTCACCACCCGCGTCACCACTGTAGGGGTGGGGAGGGGGAGCGGGGTGATGAGCGTGTGTGCGTGCGTGCATATGTGCATGAGCGCGCATGAGTGAGGGCGTTGAGTGGGTGGGTGGGCGCATGGCAGAAATAGAGGGAGGAGCAGAGAAGTGCACTGCGGCTGGCATGAACACGTGGCCGTGACAACGAGCAGCAGGGTGGCAAGGAGTGGTGGGTGCACCCTCATACTGGCAGCAGGCAGCACTCACAGTCGTGGTTGAGGAGGCGGAAGCGGCAGAGGAATTGGAAGAACACATGCTGGCGGGTGAGGTCGTCTGTGAGCTCCATACTCACGGCCACTGCCGCCTCCTCGTCCACACTCAGCAGCGCCACTGCCGTCGCACTGTCCTCGGGGAACCCCTCCTCCCCGCCCGCCCCCCTGCGCCCGCCGCCCTCCTCCGCCTCTGCAGGGCCGATCACGCGCGTCACGGCCACCTCGGGCGAGCAGCGCACCTCCAGCGACCCTTCAGCGCCCACGATGCGGGAGAGGGCGCGCAGCAGCAGGGGGGGGAACGCGGCGGGGCTGAACTCGTCCAGCGGCACCAACGCGCCCCCGGACAGCGCCGCCAGGGGCAGCAGAGCGGGCACGCGCACGAGCAGCGCCCCCCCCGAGAACACGTCCACCACGGCGCCCATGCGCCGCGCCTCCCTGCCCAGCGCCTCGTAGTGCCGCCGCGCTGCCTGCTCGCGCTGCCGCTGCTCGCCCTCCCCCACGCCCTCTATGCCCTCCGCCACCGCCCCCGCGCCCACTGTGGCGGGCCCCCCGCACAGCACCACCACGCGCGCCGCCCCGCTCCAGCGGCGCTGGTGAGCGCGCGGCAGGGCGGGCGCGGGGCCGCGCAGCAGCGCCAGCGCGAGCTCCACGGCGGGGCCCAGGGCGCGCGCGCGGGCGAGGGGGGGCGTGGCGGCGCGGCAGGGGCGCAGCGAGGCGATGACGGCCTGCGCGGAGGGCAGGCAGGCCGCGATGGGCGCGAGGTGCTGCGCGCGCCCCAGCAGCAGCGCGGCCAGCGTGGCGGGGGGCAGCGCGTGCGTGGCGGGGAAGCAGTCGGCGGAGGCGAGCAGCGGCGAGGCGGAGGGCGAGAGGTCGAAGAGCGAGAGGGCCGCGCCGAAGGTGATGATGGCGATGCGCGTGGCGGACGGCAGGTGCTGTAGCATGGCCTGCCATGGGGCGCCATGGGGTGGGTGGGGGGGATGGCGTGGTGAAGGAAGAAGTGAGGGGGGAGCAGCAGGGGCGATGAGGCAATGAGGATGGGCTGTTGTCTGCACCCACCGCGACCCGCCATTGACTCAACTCACCGTGAGCGCGGCCCTGACGCCCGCCATGCAAGCGGCGTCCAGCCCCTCGTCCACCACCACCACCACCGGCGCCCCCAGCACCGCCTCCGACGCGCTCCCCCCCACTCCCCCCTCCCCCGCCCCGCGCGGCCCCCCGCCCGCCTCAACGTAGTCCACCACGCGCGCGCCCAGCTCCGGCCACCCCTCGAGCGTCTCCCCCTCCGCCAGCAGGTAATGCCCGCCGCTCATGTTGGGGCGCCCGCACAGCGCGCAGCGCCAGTCGCCCGTGGCGGGCGCGATGGCGGAGTAGAGGCACACGCACGCCCCGCAGAAGGCGCAGCGCAGAGGCGCATGGCGCACCACGGGGGGCGGTTGGGAGGAAGCGGGAGCGGCGGAGGTAGGGGAGGGGAGGGTGGAAGCGGAGGGTGAGAGGAGCGGGGAAGCGGCGGAGGCGGGGAGCGGAGGGGTGGGCGCGAAGAGCGCGCCGAAGCCGAGGCTCTGCACGTTGGCGATCTTGCGCTCCCGCGGCACCTGCGGGGGCACGTGCACGCGGGGAAGACACATGTGAAGCGCGGGGAGGGACCTGAGAGGCGGCGAGGGCATGTGACGGAGAGGGCGAGGGAAAGACGGCGAAGGTGAGACGAGAGGGGGGCGCTGGGACAAGCGCGCGTGGAGGCGGGCCGCGAGGAGCAGCGAGCGCTCTGCGGCATGCCCAGCACCAGCCCTGTCGTGCACTGCGTCGCTCCCCGCCCATCACGGGCGCGCGGCGTACCGAGGAGGCAGTGAATCGCAGGTAGGGGTCGGACGCGAGATGGCCCCATTGCTCGTCGTGCGACAGATCGCAACCGTACATCAGCGCCGCCATGTTTGCGCCGACCAAAGGCCAAGGGAAAGAGAGGTAGGCTCAAATTAAAGTAAATATTAAATTACCTTATTGCATATTTCCATGGGGGTGTAGCTCACATGGTAGAGCGATCGCTTTGCATGCGATAGGTACGGGGATCGATACCCCGCGTCTCCAGGCCAGCTTTTGTCTATCCGAAAAGAGAGTCATGTTTTTTATCGGGGAGGGGGTGTGTGTGCTTGACGGCATAAGACGAGTGTTCAATTCAAGCATTGCAAAATCAACTTCGCGGTTTGTTCGTCCACTCCCGCCATGGCAGGCGTGCAAGCCCTCCTCGCTCGCCGTCCCGCCTTTCTGCTCGGCGCGCCACCGCCTAATTCCGCCGCCCGCGGGCTTCTCTCCGGCGCAGGCCGCGCCATCCCGCGCCCGCACGCTCCATTCTCGTATAGGCGGGGGTTTAGGCGGGCTTACGTGGGGATTAGCAGCAAAGGGGAAAGTCGAGTTTTTTGTGTGCAAAGCGACGATGGTAGGGCGAGGAGTAGTGCAGCGGACGGATCGATAGAGCCAGAGATTGAGAGGGGCTGGGTGCGGCAAAGCGCGAGTGGCGTTTCACCGTCACCCTCACAGGCGCAGGAGCAGTGCGAGTCGCCCGCTCCCCATGGCCCGCCATCTCCGCGTGCTGCTTCCCCCAACGTCCTCGTCCCGCGCGCCCTTGCCTCCCCCCTCGCCTCCGCGGCTCTCGCTCTCCTCCTCGCCCTCGCGCCCTTCGCGACTCTCCGGCCCGCCCTCGCGCAAGCACCCCCCGCGGGGACTGCGGCGACTGTGGCGGAGACGAGTAGCGGGAGGCGCGAGACACGCAGCAAGGCTGCGGGGCGGCGGAAGGAAAAGCGCGCGGAGGGGGGAACATCCTCTGCGCGGGGGAGCAAGAGTGCTGTGGGGGGGTGGGAAGCAGCAGGAGAGGGACAAGTGGGGGACGTGGAGACGTTGGGGGAGGCGGAAGCGGGGAGCCGGCGGGCGGAGGAGAGGCTCGAGGCATTCCAAAGGACAGCGGCGGCTGCCGTGACGGCGGAGGAGGTGGGCGCGCTTGAGCGCGCGTACCAGGCGGAGTGGGCGCGGAGCATGCGGGAGAGCGAGGCGCGACAGGCGCGACTTCTGGACGAGCTGGTGGGCGCGCGCATGGCGCTGGCGGAGAGAGAGGAGGCGCTGGAGCGCGCGCGAGAGAGAGTCGCGGGGGGGGAAGCGGCGGAGAGCAAGGGCCGGGAGGAGGAAGGCGGAGAAGAGGCAGGGAAGGGGAAGGACGGGGCGGTAGGTAAGGGGAGTCGGGCAGGGGGCAAGGTGAAGGGGAGGAAGGGGAAGGGCGCGGCAGGGGCAGGGGGGGACGAGGGGGCAGGCAGCGTGCGCGCGTGCAGGCGGGCCGTGGAGGCGGCGCAGCGGCGCGCTGACGAGGCGGCGGCGGCAGTGGTGGCAGCAGGGCAGCAGGCGGAGGGGTGGCTGGCGCTCATGTGGGAGGCACTGGGGGAGGCGAAGAGGAGGGTCCATGGGGAGGTGGCAGGGGGCGCGAGCGCGGAGGGGGAGGGTGGCGAGGGGGAAGCGGGGAGGGGAGTGGCGGCGATGGGGGGTGCGATGGCGGTGGCGGGCAGGGACGTGCGCGAGTGCCTTGACCACCCCGGTCGGGTGCCTGCTGTGCTGCTCCGGTCGCTCAGACGCGCCGTGGGGGGTGGAGACCCCGCCGCCCCCACTGCGGCGGCTGCTGCTGGTGGTGATGCTGGGCAGGGGGCGGAGGAGGCAGGGACAGAAGGGGCAGGGGGCGAGGGGGGCGTGAAGGCACTGAGTGCGGCGGAGGAGGCAGCAGCGCATGCTCAGGTGCTGGCGTGGCACAAGTGGGCGGCGGAACAGCGGGCGGCGGCAAAGAAGCAGATTGTGAGCAGCCGAGGCAAGGCCAAGGCGTTTGCTGCTGACAAGCAGGTCAGTGCCGCCCGCTGCTCGCTGCTCCCTGCTCCCTGCTCCCTGCTCCCTGCTCCCTGCTCCCTGCTCCCTGCTCCCTGCTCCCTGCTCCCTGCTCGCTGCTCACTGCTTATTGCTTCTTTGTTGCTCGTTGAATGCTGCACGGGTGAATAGCCGCGTGCACGCCCTCTCGCAAATCTTCCTTTCTCATTTCCCCCCTGCCCTGCGCCCAACGCCATGCTCCCCCATGCGGCACGCGCATGCAGGCGGAGGTGCTGGCAGCGCGCGACCGGGTGATGGGGGAGGCCACGCTCAACACCGCCGTCACCTCGCCGCTGCTGGGCGGAGGGCCTGAGGGGCGGTGGGAGCTCACAGCAGCGGGGCTGTGGGAGGCGCTGTCGCACTCGCTGCTGTCGTCCGTCTCGCTGCGCCACGACCGCCGTGCCGCCCTGCTGCGCCTCAAGGCCGACCCGCGCCTCTTCTTCGTCGACCTCTCCGCGTGGGACAGCTGGCGCCACGCCACTGGCGGCACGGACGAGCTGCTGCTGCGCCTGCGGGCGGCGGGCGTGCCGACGCGCGTGGAGGTGATGTGGGTGCCGGTGAGGGAGTGGGACCCCGCCTCGCTCTACACGCTGCCGGCGCGTGTGGTGGGGCACGCGGCGCACTCGCTGTCCTCAGCAGGGCCGGTGCGGGTGGCGCTGCAGTGGTACGTGGGCACGGCGGGCGAGGCGGCGGAGGAGACGTTTTTCCGCTTCGTGTGGCCGGCCATGCCGCGCGCGCTCAAGGCGCTGCTGAAGCTGGACTACTCCGAGGGCGCGGCGGCGGGCGACGTGGTGGCGCTGGAGCGCATGGGGTGGCTGGCCGCCGCTGAGAGGCGCTTCGCGAAGCGCAGCAGCATGGCGGGCAGGTGGGCGTGGTGGCTCGTGCTGCCCGCCAAGGCCGCTGTCGCGCTCTTCCCCCTGCGCTGGGCCGCCCTCCCCGCCGCTGCCCTGGCGCAGCGCCTGCTGGTGGGCGCACCGGGGCCGGAGAGTGAGACGGCGTACAAGACACGGCTGGGGAAGGAGCTGCTGCGGCGCGTGGGCAAGCAGGAGGAGGACGAGGAGAAGGCGAAGAAGGAGAAGAAGGTCAAGGACTCCATCCGAGAGGCCTTCGACCGCATGAAGGTGCCCCCTGCCCCGCTCCTCCACCGCCCCCCATCACCTTGCTCCTTGCAATGCCCACCCTCTTTTGCTTCTATCCCCACAACCCCTCTTGAAACTGCCATCTCCTCTTCATGTGCTCGTCTCTCACCTTCATCCCATCCCATCTGTTCCTTTCCGCTCTCTACCCCCCACGGTTCGTGGGCAGCGAGTGCGGAGGCCGGCGGTGCGGCTGAGTGATTTCGCGGGGATGGATGCGGTGAAGGAGGAGGTGCAGGAGGTGATCACCTTCCTGCGCGACCCCTCCTCCTTCCAACGCCTCGGCGCCCGCCCACCCCGGGTGAGCCACGTTGCCCCGGGTGAGCCACGCCCTGTCTTGCTGCCTTGTGCCATACACACCCCGCTTGCCTTGCCTCTCCTCCTCTCACCTCTATCTTCTTCCTGCTGCTGCCACACAACCCCTCGTGTCCCGTCTCCTCCCCCCCCCCCCCTCCCACCATGCGTGCGGGGCACGGCAGGGCGTGCTGATAACGGGGGGCTCGGGCGTGGGCAAGAGCAGCTTGGCGCTGGCGATAGCGGCGGAGGCGAGGGTGCCGGTGGTGGACATCAAGTCCAGCGATGTCGACCCGGGGGGGTTCGTCGGCCAGGGCGCCGCCAACGTGCGCGAGCTCTTCAAGATGGCCAGGGACATGGTGAGGGGGTCACGTGGTCAGGTGGTGAGGTGGTCCGATGGTCAGGTGGTCAGATGGTGAGATGGTAAGATGCTGAGATAGTGAGATGGTCAAGATTTCACGCGCTGGCAGGCGCCCATGCTCATCTCATCACACCCACTGCCACTGCCACCGGCAGGCGCCCATGCTGATCCTGATGGAGGACTTTGAGGAGATAGGCGGGGTGCGCGGGGCGGCCATGGACACGCGCCTGCAGGACAAGGAGGCCATCATCAACCAGCTGCTCGTTGAACTCGATGGGTCCGCCTCCCTCCCCCCCTCCTGCGCTCGCTGTTTCCCTCGCCTTTGCCTCTCTTTGCCCATAACCTCATGTGAACTGCGCTTGCATTCTCTTGCTGTCCAGTGCACCCTACTATCCTCCTCTTGCTTCGCTCCCGTCTGCTCTATGTTGTCATTCGAGCCTCGCCTTGGACCGCTCTCACACCTCGTGCTCGCCTTGGACCGCCCTCACACCTCGTGCTCGCCTTGGACCGCCCTCACACCTCGTGCTCGCCTTGGACCGCCCTCACACCTCGTGCTCGCCCCGGACCGCTCTCACACCTCGTGCTCGCCTTGGACCGCCCTCACACCTCGTGCTCGCCCCGGACCGCTCTCACACCTCGTGCTCGCCTTGCTGCCCGTGCTTTGCCTGGTTTGCAGGTTTGAGACACAGGAGGGCGTGGTGCTGCTGGCAATCACTGACAATCCAGCTGCTGTGAGTGAATCAGTGGAAGGTAGCAACCGAGAGTGAATCAGAGCAAGGTAGCAGGTGAGAGTGTAGCAGAGCAGGGGAGAAGCTGTGAGTGCAAGTGGAGGAGGGTGGAGGACGGGAGGGCTGGTGCTGGTACAGCGGCCACACGAGGGCAGTGAGTGTTGCCCGTGGCAGCATGGGGCGCACATGGCAGCATGGGGCGCACATGGCAGCATGGGGCGCACATGGCAGCATGGGGCGCACATGGCAGCATGGGGCGCACATGGCAGCATGGGGCGCACATGGCAGCATGGGGCGCACATGGCAGCATGGGGCGCACATGGCAGCATGGGGCGCACATGGCAGCATGGGGCGCACATGGCAGCATGGGGCGCACATGGCAGCATGGGGCGCACATGGCAGCATGGGGCGCACATGGCAGCATGGGGCGCACATGGCAGCATGGGGCGCACATGGCAGCATGGGGCGCACATGGCAGCATGGGGCGCACATGGCAGCATGGGGCGCACATGGCAGCATGGGGCGCACATGGCAGCATGGGGCGCACATGGCAGCATGGGGCGCACATGGCAGCATGGGGCGCACATGGCAGCATGGGGCGCACATGGCAGCATGGGGCGCACATGGCAGCATGGGGCGCACATGGCAGCATGGGGCGCACATGGCAGCATGGGGCGCACATGGCAGCATGGGGCGCACATGGCAGCATGGGGCGCACATGGCAGCATGGGGCGCACATGGCAGCATGGGGCGCACATGGCAGCATGGGGCGCACATGGCAGCATGGGGCGCACATGGCAGCATGGGGCGCACATGGCAGCATGGGGCGCACATGGCAGCATGGGGCGCACATGGCAGCATGGGGCGCACATGGCACATGCATGTTCCCGGCGCTGGCCTTCTCCCAACAGCCAAGACTGCCCCTGTCGGCTCACCCATCCCGCCCTCCCCCGTGCCCCCTTTCCCCCCTCCTCTCCGCTCGCCCCCCCCAGGTGGACCCAGCGCTGCGCAGGCCGGGGCGCATGGACCGGGTGATCGAGGTGCCGCTGCCGACGGCGGGCGAGAGGGAGAAGATTCTGCGCCGCGCCGCCGCCGCCTCCATGGACCCCCGCTTCCTTGACGCCGTTGACTGGCGCTTCGTGAGACCCTCTCCCTGCCCTGCCATGCCGTGCCATCCTTGCCATCTTATGTGATCGCATGCGATGCCATGTTATGCCATCCCATGCCATGCCTGTACTTGCTTATAGCTCAGAGCTGATGCCATAATATCACATAGCATCGTACCATATCAAAGCATGGGATGCCATACTTCAGGACCGTGACATACCACACCATTCCATGTAATGCCATGTCATTCCACCCAAGGCCATGTCATCCCACTGATGCGACCCCATGCACGGCACGCATGGCATGTGTGAGTGCAGGTGGCGGAGCAGACGGGGGGCCTGAAGCCGACGGACCTGAGGGGCATGCCGCGGCGCATCCTGCTGGCCGCTGGCACTGACAAGTTCTGTGATGAGGACGAGCTGGCGGGCACTCTCAGCATGCTGGAGGTGAGATCACGGCTCAGCATGCTGGAGGTGAGATCACGGCTCAGCATGCTGGAGGTGAGATCTCGGCTCAGCATGCTGGAGGTGAGATCACGGCTCAGCATGCTGGAGGTGAGGCACGCTCAGCATGGTGGAGGTGAGCCACGGCTCAGCAGGTATAGTGGGGGTCAAGGTGATGTGTGGCACATGGGGAGGGGCGCTGAGACACAGTGTGGAGTGAGAGGGATACGGAGAATGTGGGATGGGCTCTTGTGTGTGTTCACGCCATGACTCCCCCCTGTGCCGTGCACCTGCTGTGCGTCCCTGCCCTGGCAGCTGTACCACTGGGTGGTGCCTGCGCTGCTGCGGCGCGTGCCGGTGCTGCAGCGGTGGGAGAGCGGCGTGGTGGAGCGGCTGGGGCTGGAGCTGACCGCGGGGGACGTGCAGCGAGTGGTGGCGGACATTGACTTCTCCTCGCTCACCCACCTCGGCATGGACCTCACCCTCCCCGACACCGCCAAGGTGCCCCCTCCATCCTGCCCTCCCCTCCCTCCTCCCTTGACCTGCATCGCCAGCAATGCCCCTCGCTCCTTTCGCTTCTTTCCACTCACCGTGCCGCTGCACCTCTCGTCCACTTGTCACTGCACCTGCTCGCCCACTTGTCACTGCAGCACCTGCTCGCCCACTTGTCACTGCACCTGCTCGCCCACTTGTCACTGCAGCACCTGCTCGCCCACTTGTCACTGCAGCTGCTCGCCCACTTGTCACTGCACCTGCTCGCCCACTTGTCACTGCACCTGCTCGCCCACTTGTCACTGCAGCACCTGCTCGCCCACTTGTCACTGCACCTGCTCGCCCACTTGTCACTGCACCTGCTCGCCCACTTGTCACTGCACCTGCTCGCCCACTTTGTCACTGCACCTGCTCGCCCACTTGTCACTGCACCTGCTCGCCCACTTGTCACTGCACCTGCTCGCCCACTTGTCACTGCAGCACCTGCTCGCCCACTTGTCACTGCAGCACCTGCTCGCCCACTTGTCACTGCACCTGCTCGCCCACTTGTCACTGCACCTGCTCGCCCACTTGTCACTGCACCTGCTCCCCCGCTTGTCACTGCACCTGCTCGCCCACTTGTCACTGCAGCACCTGCTCGCCCACTTGTCACTGCACCTGCTCGCCCACTTGTCACTGCACCTGCTCGCCCACTTGTCACTGCACCTGCTCGCCCACTTGTCACTGCACCTGCTCGCCCACTTGTCACTGCACCTGCTCGCCCACTTGTCACTGCACCTGCTCCCCCGCTTGTCACTGCACCTGCTCCCCCGCTTGTCACTGCACCTGCTCGCCCACTTGTCACTGCAGCACCTGCTCGCCCACTTGTCACTGCACCTGCTCGCCCACTTGTCACTGCACCTGCTCGCCCACTTGTCACTGCACCTGCTCGCCCACTTGTCACTGCACCTGCTCGCCCACTTGTCACTGCACCTGCTCCCCCGCTTGTCACTGCACCTGCTCCCCCGCTTGTCACTGCACCTGCTCCCCCGCTTGTCACTGCACCTGCTCCCCCGCTTGTCACTGCACCTGCTCCCCGCTTGTCACTGCACCTGCTCCCCCGCTTGTCATTGCGCCTGCGACCAAACTTGGCACCTCCCCTTCTTGCCTCAAGTTGCACCTCCCCTTCTTGCCTCAAGTTGCACCTCCCCTTCTTGCCTCAAGTTGCACCTCCCCTTCTTGCCTCAAGTTGCACCTCCCCTTCTTGCCTCAAGTTGCACCTCCCCTTCTTGCCTCAAGTTGCACCTCCCCTTCATTGCTCCACTTGTCGCCCCACCCTCCCCCCCCCCTCCGACTTGCTCTCCCATGTTCATCCAACACCCTCACTCTGCCCTCACCTCACAGTGGGATCGTGCTGAGAAGCTTCCGCATGCGGTGTGGGCAGCAGGGAGGTGCTGGCGGCGCTGCTGCCGAGCTTTGACCGCGTCGACAACATCTGGCTCAACCCCAACAGCTGGGAGGTGCGCACTGCCACGGGCGGCAGGTGGGAGGTGTGCATGGGGCAAGCGGGTGAGAGGTGTGCATGGGGCAAGCGGGTGAGAGGTGTGCATGGGGCAAGCAGGTGGGAGGTGTGCATGGGGCAAGCAGGTGGGAGGTGTGCATGGGGCAAGCAGGTGAGAGGTGTGCATGGGGCAAGCAGGTGGGAGGTGTGCATGGGGCAAGCGGGTGAGAGGTGTGCATGGGCCAAGCAGGTGAGAGGTGTACATGGGGCAAGCAGGTGAGAGGTGTGCATGGGGCAAGCAGGTGAGAGGTGTGCATGGGGCAAGCAGGTGGGAGGTGTGCATGGGGCAAGCAGGTGAGAGGTGTGCATGGGGCAAGCAGGTGAGAGGTGTGCATGGGGCAAGCAGGTGAGAGGTGTGCATGGGGCAAGGCGGTGGGAAGTCTGCATGGCTAATGAGAAGAGAACGACGACACTGCATGCACTCACCATTATGCATTTTCATGCCATTTGAAGCCATCAGCCTCGCCTCCCCCGCCCCTGTGTGCAACCGTGACGGCGTGTGCGGTGTGCATGTGGGGGTGGCAGGGCGTGGGGTTCACGCGCTTCACGCGTGCCGCCGACGGCTCGCTGGGCGGGGCGGACGGCGGTGCGGAGGCGGGGGGCGGCGTCGTGGTGAGTCGCGCGTACACGGAGCAGAGCCTGGTGGCGCTCTTCGGCTCGCACATCGCCGCCGCGCTGCTGCTGCCCTGGGGGCACTCCAACAACCTCGCCACCCCGCAGCTGCAGCAGGCCTACCAGGTACAGGGGGCTGGGGAGAGCTGGGGGCCAGGAGGGCAACGGGGGGAGGAGGGGGAGCTGGGGGAAGTGGCAAGAGCTGGAAGGGCGCTTCTTGATTCGAGAGAGAAAGGGTAGCAGTATTGGTGTGGCCCGAGTGGGGTTTGCTTTGGTAAAGCGAAATGTGTCCCACCAATCAAGAGTCCCCTCTCTCTTGAGCATGTGGCACAGGTAGCACGTGGCACAGGTAGCACGTGGCACAGGTAGCACGTAGATCACCCATGTGCTGCCCTGTCTTCTCCCCCCCATGTGCGTGCCTTCCCGGCAACCCAACCAAACCTGTGTGGCATCAGCTGGCGGAGCGCATGGTCATGGAGTGGGGCTGGGGACCCGACGACTCTCCATTCATCTTCCAAACCCACACTGCGGTCAGTACTACCACCCACCATGCTGTGAGTGCCACCCACGATGCTGTGAGTGCCACCCACCATGCTGTGAGTGCCACCCACCGTTCTGTTTCCGCTGCTCTGTTGAGCAAATTCTCCATTCTCTCTCCACTGTCTTCCCCCTTCCCCCTTCCCCCTTCCCCTTCCTTCATTCCTTCTCTGCGGTGTGGTGCTGCCCTGCCACCCCGGTGTTAGCAGCACAAGAGTCTGGCGTTGGGGCGAAGGCAGGAGGCGGAGCTGAAGCAAAGGGTGCAGCAGGTGAGGGTGGTGGGGGACTCACGACTGCATTAAAGTGAGGGTGGTGGGGGACTCACGACTGCATGTGAGGGTGGTGGGGGACTCACGTGGACTGCATTCAAATGGTTGGGGGCACCTGTTGTAGGTGCTTGGTGGAGCGCCACAAACGGACCAACATTGATCCACACCGTGTTTAGTTTGGTGAATGAACATTCACACCTTCATATGTAGCTGAAACTGAGCAATCACCACATCCTCCCTCCCACCTTTCTGTTCTCCGTCCCTCCCTGTGCGGGCATCAGCTGCACGATGCGGCGTTTGAGCGCGCGCACGCGCTGCTGGCGCGCAACCGGCGCACGCTGCAGGCCGTGGTGGACGCCCTCTGCACGCACGACGCCGTCGACCGCCAGGTCAGCACTTGCCCGCCCCCTCCATGCTGTCATGGTCGCCTCGCCTGGGTGCATTGTGCATGGGTGCATGGGTGCATGGGTGCATGGGTGCATGGGTGCATGGGTGCATGGGTGCATGGGTGCATGGGTGCATGGGTGCATGGGTGCATGTGCGCATGGGTGCATGGTGCATGAGCGCATGGGTGCATGGTGCATGAGCGCATGGGTGCATGAGCGCATGGGTGCATGGTGCATGAGCGCATGGGTGCATGGTGCATGAGCGCATGGGTGCATGGTGCATGAGCGCATGGGTGCATGGTGCATGAGCGCATGGGTGCATGAGTTCATGGGCACATGACTTTGTAGAGGCAGGTTGGTATGGGCTGGAGAGCGTTGACATGGGAGATAGCTGAGAAGATGCCCTCTGCATATGCTATGTGGGTCGTGCAGTGGCACACATGAGGGCTCCACTTGAAGGCAAGTGGAATGGAAACATGCTGGACAGTTGATGTGGCTGGGAGAAGAACTTCCGAGCCACCTTCGCTCACTCAGGAAGTATGCCTGGATCCATGCAAATGTGACTGTTGTGAGTTTTCACCCTCGTTGGAAAGCAGCTCCCAACGAGTAAATTCTGTCGTATGGTGGCTCCGTGTGACTGCCCCTCTCAACAGGAACTGCTGCGCATCATGGCAGACACATCAGCCGTGCCGGAGAACGAGCCATTTGAGCTTTTCCCTTACAGCCACCCCACGCACAGGGCTGGCATACACTTAGCTGCACGTACACAGGCCGGCAGGCTTGCTGCACTCAGCACCAACCTGCCCCAAGGAATTCTGCCTGCGGAGGCATCTGCCAAGTGATGGTGGTGAGGGCACATTGCCATCCGCACTATGGGTTACTAGTGGCACAATGTGTGTGTAATGTAGTGTAGAGCAGGGCTCAGGTTATCAGTGTAATTTACCCTTCTACACTGATTACAAGGGTGAAATTTTGGGTCTACACTGATGTGCTGGGGTAATTTTTTTATGAGTTAGTGTTACACTGATCAGTAAGTGTATCGATGTAGGCCACACTGATGCCTTGGGGTAAAATTTCCCTTAGCGAGGATTACACTGAAGAGCGTACGCGGACCCCCACACCCACCCCCCCCTCCCTCCCCCCCTTCCCCACAAACAATCGGTCGAGGGGGAGGGGAGGCAAAATTCTCGCCAATTTCGTAAGTCCTCCCCTTCCCCCCCGCCCCTCACAAACAATCGATCGAGGTGGGAGGGGACCTGGGAGGCAGATAACTTTCTCGCCACCTGTCATACACACCTAATTTACACATAATGTGTCAGTGCTTGAAATAAAACCACACTGATGATGCAGGGTAGAAAATTCAAAACCTGATGTTACACTGCTCTATCAGTGTAATGGAAAAGTACACACTGCCCATAAGGGTTTTTGAAAAAGCTACACTGCCAATCATGAGTAGGCCAAAACCAAACCTGAGCCCTGGTGTAGAGTGTTTATAAGAGGGAAGAGCTTGCGTAAAAATCAAAAGGCATGAATGAAATACAGTTGTTAAGATGTAAATGGCAAGTCTTGTAGGAAAAGTATTTTTAGTGGCAAGTCCATACCGTATTTTGCCCTGCAAGGAAGAGTCCTGACTTCAAGGAGTTTGCAGAGCAGCAGTCAGAACATTGCAAATCTTCATCTTACAGCACACTACCCGTAGATTGCGTCTTCCAAAGTGTTGAAGTACTACCGTAAAATGTTTCGGTAAGAAATCAAGGGCCATATCAAGGAAATGTAATCACTTGGAATAAGTTGTAGGTTCAGGACGCGTCCGCTCAACACCGATCTCACGACGGATAATGCTATATCGATCCTCATTGCATTGAATCGTATAGCAGCCATATGTACACTCGCCTCACCCCACCCCAATGGGGATGAAAGCACACATGTGCAACAGGCATGGTTCGATCGCCAGTACCAATGATCGATCATGATCGTCACCCTCATACGCTCCTGCTGGCTTGGTAATACCGGTAGGCCCAAACGCACACAGCCGCGTGACTGAACACAAGAAAAACGCTGCGAACGAGCGAATTCATCACCAAACTGCGGAAGGATCCACACATGTGCAAAAAATGTAGCAGGCACGCTTCATTCGCCCGTGCCAATGACTGATCATGCTCGCCACCTACCCACGCTTGGCTTGGTAATACGCCCAGACGCACACATCTGCGTGACCGAACGGAAGTAAAACGCTCGTAACGAGCGTTTTCATCCCCAAAACGCGGAAGGATTCGCACATGTGCAGAAAATGCAGCAGACATGGTTCATTCGCCAGTACCAATGACCGATCATGCTCGTCACCCTCCCACGCTATTGCTAGTTTGGTAATAGGTCCAAACACCCACATCCGTGTGGCCGAACGGAACAAAAAGCGAAGAACCGCTCGTTCCGCACTGGTATAAAATGTGAAGCGAAGTTGTTCAAATCCTGGACCGCCATGCACGATCATCTTTGCCACAGTCCTAAGTACCCTGTGGTCAGTTTCTAGCTCCTAAAAACTTCAGACGAGCCCGCCGCGACAAGTGCCGCCCCCCCTATAAGGGCGTTCGTGAGGCCAGAAAGCTGTGAAATCCGCACTGGTATAAAATGTGAAGCGAAGTTGTTCAAATCCTGGACCGCCATGCACGATCATCTTTGCCACAGTCCTAAGTACCCTTCGGTCAGTTTCCAGCTCCTAATAACTTCAGACGAGCCCGCCGCGACAAGTGCCGCCCCCCCTATAAGGGCGTTCGTGAGGCCAGAAAGCTGTGAAATCCGCACTGGTATAAAATGTGAAGCAAAGTTCTTCAAATCCTGGACCGCCATGCACGATCTTCTTTGCCATAATCCTAAGTACCCTGTGGTCAGTTTCTAGCTCCTAAAAACTTCAGACGAGCCCGCCACGACAAGTACCGCCCCCCCTATAAGGGCGTTCGTGAGGCCAGAAAGCTACGAAATCGGCACCGGTATAAAACGTGAAGCGAGGTTGTTCAAATCCTGGACCGCCAAGCACGATCATCTTTGCCACAGTCCTAAGTACCCGATGGTCAGTTTCTAGCTCCTAATAACTTCAGACGAGCCCGCCGCGACAAGTACCGCCCCCCTTCTAAGGACGTTCGTGAGGCCAGAAAGATGTGATATCCGCACTGGTATAAAATGTGAAGCGAAGTTGTTCAAATCCTGGACCGCCATGCACGATCAACTTTTCCACAGTCCTAAGTACCTTGTGGTTAGTTTCCAGCTCCTAAAAACTTCAGACGAGCCCGCCGCGACAAGTGCCGCCCCCCCTATAAGGGCGTTCGTGAGGCCAGAAAGCTGTGAAATCCGCACTGGTATAAAATGTGAAGCGAAGTTGTTCAAATCCTGGACCGCCATGCACGATCATCTTTGCCACAGTCCTAAGTACCTTGTGGCCAATTTCTAGCTCCTAATAACTTCAGACGAGCCCGCCACGACAAGTACCGCCCCCCCTATAAGGGCGTTCGTGAGGCCAGAAAGCAACGAAATCGGCACCGGTATAAAATGTGAAGCGAAGTTGTTTAAATTCTGGACCGCCATGCACGAGCATCTTTGCCATAGTATTAAGTACCCTGCGGTCAGTTTCTAGCTCCTAATAACTTCAGACGAGCCCGCCACGACAAGTACCGCCCCCCCCATACAGGCGTTCGTGAGGCCAGAAAGCTGTGAAATCCGCACTGGTATAATATGTAAAGCGAAGTTGTTCAAATCCTGGACCGCCATGCATGATCATCTTTTCCACAGTCCTAAGTACCGTGTGGTCAGTTTTTAGCTCCTAATAACTTCAGACGAGCCCGCCACGACAAGTACCGCCCCCCTTATAAGGATGTTCGTGAGGCCAGAAAGCTGTGAAATCCGCACTGGTATAAAATGTGAAGCGAAGTTGTTCAAATCCTGGACCGCCATGCAGGATCAACTTTGCCACAGTCCTAAGTACCTTGTGGTTAGTTTCCAGCTCCTAAAAACTTCAGACGAGCCCGCCGCGACAAGTGCCGCCCCCCCTATAAGGGCGTTCGTGAGGCCAGAAAGCTGTGAAATCCGCACCGGTATAAAATGTGAAGCGAAGTTGTTCAAATCCTGGACCGCCATGCACGATCATCTTTGCCACAGTCCTAAGTACCCTGTGGTCAGTTTCTAGCTCCTAAAAACTTCAGACGAGCCCGCCGCGACAAGTACCGCCCCCCCTATAAGGGCGTTCGTGAGGCCAGAAAGCTGTGAAATCCGCACTGGTATAAAATGTGAAGCGAAGTTGTTCAAATCCTGGACCGCCATGCACGATCATCTTTTCCACAGTCCTAAGTACCCTCCGGTCAGTTTCCAGCTCCTAATAACTTCAGACGAGCCCGCCGCGACAAGTGCCGCCCCCCCTATAAGGGCGTTCGTGAGGCCAGAAAGCTACGAAATCCCGATCGGTATAAAATGTGAAGCGAAGTTGTTCAAATCCTGGACCGCCATGCACAATCATCTTTGCCATAGTCTTAAATACCCGGCGGTCAGTTTCCAGCTCCTAATAATTTTAGACGAGCCCGCCGCGACAAGTACCGCCCCCCTATAAGGGCGTTCGTGAGGCCAGAAAGCTACGAAATCGGCACCGGTATAAAATGTGAAGCGAAGTTGTTCAAATCCTGGACCGCCATGCACGATCATCTTTGCCATAGTATTAAGTACTCTGCGGTCAGTTTCTAGCACTCAATAACTCCAGACAAGCCCGCCACGACAAGTACCGCCCCCCCTATACGGGCGTTCGTGAGGCTAGAAAGCTACGAAATGAGCACCGGTATAAACTATGGACCGCCATGCACGATCATCTTTGCCACAGTCCTAAGTACCCCGCGGTCATTTTCCAGCTCCTAATAACTTCAGACGAGCCCGCCACGACAAGAACCGCCCCCCTATAAGGGCGTTCGTGAGGCCAGAAAGCTGTGAAATCCGCACCAGTGTAAAATGTGCAGTGAAGTTGTTCAAATCCTGGACCGCCATGCACGATCATCTTTGCCACAGTCCTAAGTACCTTGCGGTCATTTTCTAGCTCCTAAAAACTTCAGACGAGCCCGCCGCGACAAGTGCCGCCCCCCCTATAAGGGCGTTCGTGAGGCCAGAAAGCTGTGAAATCCGCACTGGTATAAAATGTGAAGCGAAGTTGTTCAAATCCTGGACCGCCATGCACGATCACCTTTGCCACAAGCCCTAAGTACCCTGTGGTCAGTTTCTAGCTCCTAAAAACTTCAGACGAGCCCGCCGCGACAAGCACTGCCCCCCCTATAAGGGCGTTCGTGAGGCCAGAAAGCTGTGAAATCCGCACTGGTATAAAATGTGAAGCGAAGTTGTTCAAATCCTGGACCGCCATGCACGATCATCTTTGCCACAGTCCTAAAAACCCTGTGGTCAGTTTCTAGCTCCTAAAATCATCAGACGAGCCCGACGCAACAAGCACTGCCCCCCCTATAAGGGCGTTCGTGAGGCCAGAAAGCTGTGAAATCCGCACTGGTATAAAATGTGAAGCGAAGTTGTTCAAATCCTGGACCGCCATGCACGATCATCTTTGCCACAGTCCTAAGTACCCTGTGGTTAGTTTCTAGCTCCTAATAACTTCAGACGAGCCCGCCGCGACAAGTGCCACCCCCACTATAAGGGCGTTCGTGAGGCCAGAAAGCTGTGAAATCCGCACTGGTATAAAATGTGAAGCGAAGTTGTTCAAATCCTGGACCGCCATGCACGATCATCTTTGCCACAGTCCTAAGTACCCTGTGGTCAGTTTCTAGCTCCTAAAAACTTCAGACGAGCCCGCCGCGACAAGTGCCGC